CTCCCTCTCCCACTCCCCCTGCTTGTATTCCCTCTCTCGCTTTGTCTCTCTCTGTCAAATAAATAAATAAAATCTTTTTAAAAAGAAATATTTAAGCAGCCAACGATAAAGGAAATTTTCAACTTTTAACGTTTGTGGGCCCTGCTACTGGGCTCTCAGGGAAGCTATGCTTTAATATCTCCCACCAAGGTCAAAATGACTCAGCAAAACCTCAAAGCAAAGGCGCTCTTTCTGCCTGGAGCACACATTATATGTCTGCGTCGTTCAAAAAATAACCAAAAAAGGAGTATTCCAAACAAAAAGATAAGAAAAACAAAACAAACGTCCCTGGTTTCCATAAGATTAAAGTCATACAGCCTTAACACGCTAAAAGCATAAGATAAAGTCTGGATCTTTCTGGAATGTCCTTCAGCATCATGATTTGTAACTATTTACGTAGAAAACATATATAACCCTGCACCAAATGTTTCTTCCCCAAAGCACTCTCTTCTTTGTCAAGATACTATATCGCGGGCAGCTGTCCTAACTTGGGCTCGAATAAAACGCTTTTCCTTTCTCTTTAAAATTTTTACTAGACAGGCGCTTTAACCAGCTAAGCCACGGCGCCAGCTCTTTAAAATTTTTAAAAAAGGTTTGTTCATTTTGCATCTACATTTCCTGGTGTACTCAACAGGATATCAGAGTAACTCCCGTGAGATTTCCTGGGGGTCCTCTGGAACTTGGCTCTGGGTACCAGCACAGGCCCTTTATGGCCCTCTGACTTCTCAGCACCTCAGAGATGTATCAGATGAGTTCTCTTGACATCTGCCCCTCCTTAATTTGAGTTGATGGTCCTGACTTTTATTCAGGTTGTTGAGGGTTACAGGGAAAGTTCTCTAGGTGGGAATAACTTAGAGGGGTTGGAGTTGATGGGTTCGTTGTTTTAATTTGACATTATACTAATTGGTATACTGTTAACATAAGGCTTGAGTAAATTTTCTGGCTAGAAATATGAGAGACTGAATCACTTAGCTCCCGAAGAGCAGGGACATTTGCCCCTTCTGGCCAAATGAGGCTTTCAGGTGACGGAAAGCCTAGCGGAAGTGTCAGAGGATCCTCCTCGAGACCTGTAGGGGTCCCAAAGGAATGTCCCATCTCATAAGGTAATTAACGATTGGTTCACCCAAGGACGCACACATAAAGATTGATCATCCAGTGCTCCCAGCCCTCTCAGTGGTCTTAGACCTCACTGAGAGAATCCAAGACACATCAGAGGGTGTATTGCAGCCTTTTGAAAATAACTCTCACAAGCAGCACCCTCTTGATCCACCACACTTAATATCCTTAGATCTTATTCAAGCCTTATTCTAAAAAGAAAACTGAAACCAAAAGGAATGGGGAACCATGCTTCAAAAGCTAAACAGTCCCTGGAAAAACAACCACCACCCACAGAAAACTCTGGCAGGCTATATGTAGAATACATATGGAGCGTACACTTGCAAGTGCTTACTAATGGGAATATTTAAGGATAACCTGAGTCTCAGATCCCAAATGCGGTTCTTTGGACTGGATTAGTTTTTTTGTTTTTTTTGTTTTTGTTTTTTTTTTGTTAAAGATTTTGTTCATTCACTTGAGACACAGAGATACAGAGACAGAGAGCATGAGCTGGTGGGGATGCAGAGGGAGAGGGAGAAGCAGGCTCCCTGCTGAGCCAGGAGCCCGATGTGGGGCTCGATCCCGGGACTCCAGGATCATGACCTGAGCCAAAGGCAGTCGCTTAACCAACTGAGCCACCCAGGCGCCCCAGGATTCAAATATTTTTAGTTTTTTTTTTACCTCATTAATTTCCATCTTCATATTTTGTAACAAGTCCTGTTTCTCATCATTACAGAGAGCAGCCACTTTTGACCACACATATTACAGAAAACTTCTGAGGAAGAGTTACACTATCCACACAGGTGAGATCTTATTTGCTGGCTATGATCCTGTCTGGTTTTTCCACATTACCTTGGAATCGGCCACTTTATCCAGACCTAACTGCTGAATGACCTTGTCAATTCGCTCATTTTTTTCATGACTCGTCATGGTGGTCGGAAGCCGGAGAGCTGCTGAGAACTGTAAATTTTCTCTCACTGTCAGAGTTCCCATCACGACATCATCCTTAAAGCAAAATGGCATTTTTAACAAGACATATTAGGTCTTTTTTAATACCATCACCCTTAAGTACGTGTAACTTAATCCACAAGAATAACATATCCAACATAAAGTCCTAGCTAATGATGAACTTGCAGTTAGACAAATGACAGCAACTCCAAACACAGACAGCTGAAAAAGCCGGAGGGCGTAATTTTCATTCCCCTATCTGTACACCCAAACTGACACAAGTAATTGTGATTACTACTAGCAGACATGTCCAGACCGCTTTATACAGGATTTAGCAAAATAGCTTTCTAAGCTAGGGGAAGGGCAAAAAAGGAAAATAGTGTCTTGTGGAAATGATAACTAGAATGGATACCATTGTCCTTATAGCGGTTATATTCCAGATTCTTCCTGCCTCTTCATTTAACACCACTCTGAGTCTTTTTTTTTTTAATTTTTTTATTCTTATATTATCCCCATACATTGCATCAACACCACTCTGAATCTTAACAGGAGATTATGAGAGGCTGGTATGAAGAAAATTGGTTCCACGAATATGTCATTTGGTCAGTTGGAAGTACACTCAACTATCAGCCAAGGCACTTGCTCATATAGAAATAGAAGAAAGCTAAAATACAAATCCACAAATACTTACTTGTACCACATAACCTGAATTACACTTGAAATTGGCAGGTCGAGGTGCTCCATTTATCAAAACATCTCCAGATAATCCATTCGGATCCTTCCTTGCAGCTAAGATATCTAACAACCTATGAGAGGACATATACATTGTTGTTTTTCTCCAATTCAGGCTATATCTCTCAGCTACTCTAAATCCAAATTCTGCTTAAGTTAGAATATTAACCGATCAAGAAATTCCATGGATCACCTAAAATTATGTATTTTTTTTTCAGGTACTTCCTCGAGTTCAATTTTTATTTAAATTCTAGTTAGTTAACATATATGATAAAATTGGTTTCAGGCGTAGAATTTAGTGATTCATCATAAAATTACGTACATTTTCGAATTCTCACCTTCCCTTTTTTAGTATATACTACAATAAAACTCAAAAACATGGCACAAGTCACCACTGGCTGATCCAGCACAGACTTCCCAAACAGCCTTCCAGGTCGTGTGACCTTGGGGGTCTCAAGTCAGACAATGTGTTCCTTTGTCTAAGACACAAGTCTTCACTTAGGCCTTTGGCTCCATCTCCCCACTTTCAATTTTTTTCTCTCTCCTTTCCCTCCCCATTAGCTCAAATCATAGCCGACAGCTGTATGGCCAATCATGTCCTGTTAGCGTGTCCTGTTAGTAAGCTGACCAAGTAAGAGTTCCCGGTCCTTGGGACAACCACAAGCTAGCATCATGCATGTTATCCACAGCGCCTAGAACCACACTAGACATGCAGCAAATGCTCGACACACACCTGCTCACATAATAGTCATCTTGAAAAGCACAATAAAACTGCAAAGAAAAAGCTGACTTATGCTATTATACTCACGAAGATTTGCCACCACCTGTGGGTCCCAGAATGGCATTGAGGCCAGGTCTCATGATGCCACTGTAAACACAGAACATAACAATTTATCAGCCTGCTTCAAAACCGGTTCTATAAATTTAGGGTCTGCATCTAATACACTCAATGAAAGTGATCAAACTATAAACAGAAAACAAGCACAAACCAATGCTTAAATGAAAAAGACACTGAAATGTCCATTAACATAAGTCCAGCAAACAAAGGATCTTAATCACTAGTGTAAGAAAAATGGCTTGGGTCCCTCTAAACTCCTTTTACTTCTTCTCTAAACCATTTATATTTTTTGAAATTTCAAGTTTCCTTAAAGTAACAGATTCTGGTTAAACATCTCTGTTACACTCACCCTCTTAACCCAGTGTGAAGAACGTAACAAGTCTTAACTAATGTTTGATGACATTAACTGATTTACTTCAAATCACCTCAGTTGCTACCTAGTCAGGTTCTACACAATTAATAAATCAATGGATTTCTAGAATTACCAGTAGTGTTCTCACCACTTAAAACTAGTCAGATTAAGAAACAATATATGTGAAGTAGAAATTCAATGGCTAAGAATAAAGCACCTCATGGGTAAAAAACGAAACACCAATTCTTAACCCTCACAAAATTTTTACTGAATTAGAAAAGTAAAACATGGGAGCACCTGGGTGGCTCAGTCCCTTAAGCGTCTGCCTTTGGCTCAGGTCTTGATCCCGGGGTCCTGGGATCGAGCCCCGCATC